CATGTCAGTCTGCCCTATGGCGGTTTAGGCGGCCGCGAGCCCCCACACAGCGCGAGGCCTTAGGCGGCCGCCTAAACCGCCTAATTAGAGAGCCGCCTCTGGCGATAGATACATTAGCAGGACAGCATCTAAATCAGGCAGGTGCATTTTATCACTTTTAGGTGAGTTGGATATCAGTGGTGACACTGTCAGTAAAAATATACAAAGACATTGTGCAGTTGTGCTTCAGTCAGATAGTTGTGTCTACATACCATAGAACATACATTAGTTCACAAAAATAATTATATTGGTGAGTGAATACAGTAAAAAAAAAAAAAACTGAAAATAGGAAATAAAAGACATAGAAGGACAATTTACTGAATGGAGTTAATGAGAGAAATGGGAGCATATATTCCATTAGCCCCTTTTCATGCCACCAATTCAACATGTTAAATGTCTCAGGCTGAGGCTTCAGTCACCACTGCACTGCTTCTGATTCTTCTACTTCCAGGAGTCTGCGGGTATTATAGGTGTATTATACAGAGAACAGCACTACACAGAGAGCACTGACTGTCCCAGGATATTGTACACAGACCTGTATTATACAGATAGCAGCACTATACAGGTAGCACTGACTTTCCCATGAAATTATACACACAGACTTGTATTATACAGAGAGCAGCACTACACAGGGAGCACTGACTGTCCAGGGATATTATACACACAGACCTGCATTATACAGGGAGCAGCACTGTAAAGGGAGCACTGACTATCCCAGGATATTATATGCAAAGACCTGTATTATACAAAGAGCAACACTATACAGGGAGCACTAACTGTCCAGGAATATTAAACACACAGATCTGTATTATACAGGGAGCAGCACTATACAGGGAGTACTGACTGTCCCGGGATATTATATACACAGACCTGTATTATACAGAGAGCAGCACTATTGTTATGGACAAATGCAAATATAAGTTTTAGAATTAAATGTTGTATTTCTTAAGCTGCGTTCTTTGTCAAGGTGTTAGAAACAGAACATATTGTTTTTCATATATGTTTCTTTAAGCAAAAACCTCTTACCTACTTTCAATACATAATGCATTTATGCCAATTTGTCTTAGCTTAATACAAAACAAGTAATGTATTAATATCTTCTAGGCTATGCTACGTCGTCCTGACTTCCATTTTGTCCTGGGATAATGGAAATTTAGTATAAACAATAAATAAGATGTCTAGGTCATGACAAATAAACAATAGATAAGATGTTCAAACTTTAAGACATCATCTTGTCCTAAGTCAGAGAATATCCAAGTTAAGGGAGGTCCTAAGATAAATAAGTAAAAGTTGTTTGACTTTTTCATATATGAACTAAGGTAAACCTAAAATGAAAAAAAGGTATAATTGTGTGTACCTTTTAAATGTAAACATAGAGAGGAGAGATTCTGAGACAGACGCTCCATCTTATAATGACAGAGAGGCTGAAATGATGACATGTTATTCTAGTAATGATACTTGCAAGCAAATAGTTTAATCTTATAAACTCTGCTATAAATTATTGTAATGGATTTTATATGTCTATATTTATATTTTTATTTAATAAAATATCTAATATACACAACTTTATTGATTCCAAGACAATTCTTATTTTATATTGTATTCTCAATTATTTATATATTTTAAATAGAGGATCTCTTACTGACTATATACAATTATAGCTATGCTATCTGTATGGTTAGCCCTGCTAAGTTCTATACTTTAAGACATTATAGTGATAAATAAGGAAACCAGCTGCGGTTACAATTGGCACCCAACGTGGGGCTTGTAGTTTGGAAGATATATACGTATAGGAAGGTTACTTCTTATACGTAAGGAAAGACACAATTCTTTGTCATGACGCAAGTCTTGAAATATCAAAAATCGAATGAGATTTTTGTAGCCCAGACTCAGAGAGAGATCTTCATCATGAAGAGATGATTGTAATGTGAACTTGTACAAGGCACTTGGAGCTCAGGGGCCAGGTACATTGTAATTAGCATGCAATGCTGAAATTGTGGATCTTTATTAATATCATAAGGGAACATATATACATATTTGGTAAACTCCCTAATATGCCTAATACACCAGCATAGCATGGTCTATTAGTTCCAGGGCAGTGGGTTGTAGGCAGGGGCAGCCATGTTTTCTCTGTAGCTGTAAAGGTTTGCATGCGCAGAAAAAAAGATTAATGCAAGATGTTGTCAAGAGAAAAGTGATAAGACAAAGTGATGAAAGCAACACTTGCTATTATATTACTAATAGATTTTGAAGTCTAATTCTAAGAATGCAAAGAAAATTGCATTATGACTTAATGAAAACATTCATGCCACAGAAGCAACAGACAGACAGGATTTGTAATTATTGCATTACTGCCTTCTGGATTGTAATATACACTATATATGAAAAGTTTTATAAAACAGTGATCATTTCCATATTGTCAGTTACACTTGCTGTTGATTTAAAAAAAAATCAGGCATTTATAACAGCTACTATGTCTGGGATTTCCAGCCAAGGTCGCGGAGTTACAGAAACAGATAAATAATTCCAAGGAAATGAGAAGTCGCCTTATTTTTTTATATTCCAAATTATGAACAACTTTATTACATACAGTCATAAAGAGAAAGACATGGCTTTTAAAAACATTAATTGCAGTACAACGCAGTACACTTTTTGAAAGAAAGAAAATGCGGTAACATCTTGTGTCCCAAAGGATCGCAAAGTTGTTCCGATACTGTGGGTCTAAGACTAGATCATACCATGGCTTTGGAACTCCGAGCTAACTTAACTACTCCAGCTGTTGATACACTAGCTATTTTGACTGTTGGAGAATTAGCCGCTAGGTCCTTTCTTTGCGATCCTTTGGGACACGAGATGTTACTACCTTTTTTGATATTTTGTGTGTAAATACTCTACCAGCCACAATACTGAGCTTCTATTTTTACAGCATATGTGAATTGCAAAACATTGTTTTGCACACACTACTGGATGTTGGTTCCTGAAAACTTCTGAACAGAACCTCACCATTGATAGTATATTTGTTCTGGATTTTAACATATTTATCTTTCACCAATTTTTCTTCCTATTTGGAAATCTAGCTTGCTCTAGTTCTAATTGGGAATTTGATTTGTATTATTAATTCTAGTAGTGGACAATTATGTATATTTATATATATATTCATCTTGAATAGTGAATTCACTCAAGATACCTTGACTTATATGGGTTCAAACTCAGACCCAACGATATTGGTATCTCTCTTTTTTTCTTAACATAAGTCCACTCATGAACATTCTGTTTGTCACTAGAGCACCGTAATATTTATTTTATCATTATTAATGAACCTTGAGAATCATTTATGAATGAAACAATTTGTTACATTTAAACCTTATAAAAGCTGTTTGGGAAATATAAGCCTGCAGTTCACAAGTATCCATTTTTTTGTTATATTTGCCTACTATTGTATCCTTTATATAAAAGGTTAATAAAGACTTAAAATTTTCTGGATACATAAGAGAGCTTTATAACTACTTCCTTTTCCCTCTTTTCCATACCAATCATTTCCAAGCAAGTCATTTAGGTATATATGGTGTAAACTACTTATGTGCTTCCGAAACCTATACCAGCTCTGTCTCCCTAGTTGGGGACTACTCTCCTCTTTTTGTCTTTGCATTTATAGCATACGTATTCAACTATTTAAAGTGCACAATTTGTGCACATAATGACTTTGGTTACTCAGGTACACACTTTAGTCTATTGCAATGCCAGAAAGATTAAAGTCCACCAATTTTAAAAGTTAAAGCTTACTTTCGTACTGTACCTGCAGTGGTAGCGGTAAGGAAATTAGAACAATTATACTGTACTACTGACTGTAATCAGATCCGACACATGTAATCTCAGTGAATTTCATAAACTAGGTTTTCATAAAATAACATAAAACAAAATTAAATATCAATGTTGTTCATATATAAATATATCAATGTTGTTTATTAATAAATATATATAGACTAGGCAGTTAGAGCATTTTCATGCTGTACCAGGCTGCATTCAGCAGCTTGCTGTCTCAGAGACAGGAACTGATAAAAAAAAAAAAAGAGGTTTAAAAAATATAGAGAAAATCACACAGTGATGGGTATACCACAACCACATGATGGATGAAATAATTGTGTCTTTAAAAGCTACGTGCTGTCGCAGTTATATACATATAAATACAGATTAGGGAACAGCGTAGCAATAAAAATACAGTTTAAATCTCATATATGGGGATTCAGTTCCACCACATGGCCATGTACTACAGCAGGGACGTTTTAGCCGCGAGGCAAACACGGCATTTAGCTTGGGCGGCATTTTCAAGGGGGCGGCAAAAAAAAACGCCCCCAAATGCCCAGGGGAAATGCCTTGTTAGCCTTGCGGCTAACTGACATGCCGGGCGGGCGGCACTGACGAAGGAGCACTTCCTCTGAGCTCTCTGCTCAGCTCCCTCACAGTTCCCGGCATCACTCTGCGGTGCGAGGTAGCTGAGCAGACAGCTCAGAGGAAGTGCTCCCTCGGCAGCTGCCCGCCAGCGCCGCCGCCCAGCAGCCACTGGACCCCCAGGAAGAGAGGGAACCCCCCCCACCATTCCCAAAGGTAAGGAGGCTGGGGGGGGATTAAATAAAAAAAATGTGTTAATGTGAGTGAGTGAGTGTGTCTGTTAGTGTGTGTGTGTGTGTCTGTTAATGTGTGTGTGTGTCAGTGTGTGTCTGTCTGTTAGTGTCTGTTAGTGTGTGTGTCTGTTAGTGAGTGTGAGTGTGTCTGTTAGTGAGTGAGTGTGTGTCTGTTAGTGAGTGTGAGTGTGTTTCTGACTCTCCTCCTCCTCTCCTCCTCCTCTCCTCCTCCTCGGCTGAATGCGCATGCGCGGCAGGAGCCGCGCGCATTCAGCCAGTTCATAGGACGTCATGCCTTGAAGTGCTGTGAGAGATTTGAGCCATTGGTCAGGTGTGAGTTTAGACATTCCTTCTTTTTACCATTGGGTCACGTATGCAAAGGAGCAGGGTGTTGATTGGTCTATCAGCGTTTTGTAGCAGAGGGTTAAGGTTTTGGATTTCGTGGGTGTAGAGTGTCATTTCTCGGCCAGTGGTGCGAAAAGAGGAGTTTGCGTATTCAGCACGGTCGTTGAAGTTGATACTTTGGTGAGAATTATGCTTTTTAGTTGTAAATATGTGAAAATGAGTGAGTTGGGCAGTTGGTATGTTTGTTGCAGTTCTGGGAATGGCAGGATCGTTTATTGGGAGTATAAGTCTTTTATTCGGGTAATGCCTCTGGATGTCCATGGTTTCAGGGACAGTCATGGTGATATTGTTTCCAATGCCGTCAGTGGGGCTTGAGTACAGAACTTTTTGTCGGTAGACATAGATGTTCACCATTGGTCCCAGGTTCGCAGAGTCATCGCTGTGGTTGCGTAGAGTGGGGTCACTCGTGGTCTGAATGGCTTCGGTGTCCACATTAGGTTTGTTATGAGGTTAGGGCGAGTCATGCCATGTTCCATGTCTACACACTGGAAGGTGTTTTTAGGGGCATGAAGTTTGATGGCGGACTCTAGGATGGCTGCTTTATAGTACGTGGATATCTTTGGGAGTCCTAAACCACCTGCTGAGGGTGTCAGTTAGAGGAGAGAGAGAGGAAGGCGTGGTCTCGCCTTACCCCATACGAATTTGTTCAATGAGGCTTGGATATTTTTGAGTAGCTGTGTTGGAGCGTGTATGGGCAGCATTCTAAATACGTATAGAATTTTAGGCAGTATCATCATTTTGATCGAATGTATCCTCCCCAACCATGACAGTTTAACATCTTTCCATTTTTGGAAGCTAGAGGTGCATGTATGTGTAATTGGTGTGTAATTAAGGGACAGCATGTTCTGTCTGTGTAGTGTTAATTTTACTCCTAGGTAGGTTATATAATTTTGTCTCCAGTCGATTGTATATGTAAGGCGAGGTTGTTGTGTTAGTTGTGTTGGTAGATTAATCAGTAGCACTTGTGTTTTGGTTTTATTCAGTTAATAGTAGGTGATTTGGCCATAGCTATCTAGTAAAGTCAAGAGTCGTGGTAGGGAGGTCTCGGGCTTACTCAGGGATATCATAATGTCATCGGCAAACATAGCTAGATGGTAATTTATGGTATTAATTTGGATTCCCGTGAGTGGGTCTTGTCTAATCTGCTGAGCGAGTGGTTCTAGTGATAATATGAACAGGAGGGGAGAAAGCAGACATTCCTGCCGTGTTCCATTGGTAAGGTCAAAAGGTGACAAGGTGAAGCCAGAATTCGAGACCTAGGCTGAAGGTTTTGTGTATAATGCCATAATCCCTTGTAGTAATTCTGTGGGGAAGCCATATTTAGTCAGTACTGAGGCCATATATGTCCAATTTAACCGGTCAAAGGCCTTTTCTGCGTCTAAAGCTAAGAACAGGCTCTCTGTGCCTTTTTCTTCTATGTGTGAAAGTATGTTTAGAATTTTCATCTAAAACATCAGAACCCTGTCTACCCTTTACGAAGCCAGATTGATCATTGTGTACTATGCGTGGTAATATGGTGGCTAGGCGGTTTGCTATGAGTTTGACGTAGATCTTAGTATCACAGTTCAGTAAGGAGATGGGTCTGAAATTGGGACAGTGTGTGGGTGGTTTCCCTGGTTTTGGAGATGTGTGCTTTCAGCATTTCCATGGGCATAGTGCCCATCTGGAAATATAGGTTAAATAAAACTGTCATATGGGGTGCTAGTAGATCCTTAAACGTATGATAGTAAAGATTTGTGAACCCATCGGATACTGGGGACTTGTGGTTCGGGAGTTGTTTGATAGTCTGCAGCACCTCTTGGATCGTGAATGGTTGTGTAAACGTGTGGCGTTCATCAAGTGTGAGTTTTGGTAGGTCGACATCTTGTAAGAAGGCGTCTATGTCTGCTTCTGTAGGTGTATATGTTTGGTTGTCCTGTTTTAGGTTATCTAGTCCGCTATAATAAGGGCCGACCTCTTCTATGTCCTGCGTCTTGGTTATTTTACATCCATCTGTAGTCTGGAGGAATGCTATTTTTGAGGATTGCGTTTGTGCTTTAAGTTGGGCTGCTATGACCTTGTCTGCTCTGTTTCCTTCTTTGAAGAATTTATGTTTTAGTTTGGTCAAGAGGTATGTGGCTTTTGCTAATTACATATCCCTCAGTCGGGCCCGTAGTTGAAGGATTTGTTTGGTAGTTGTATGTGAGGGTGATTGTTTGTTGGTGTGAGTGAGCATGGTAAGTTCAGTAATGGTGTCTGTTTATGCTGTCATACGTTTTTTTTGTTATAGCTTGAATATTTAATAAGCTGGCCCCTGAGGACCGCCTTGTGTGCTTGCCATAGGGTTTCTATACCAATATCTTGTGTGTTCTTTGTGGAAAAGTAGGATTCCATATACAGGGAGTGCAGAATTATTAGGCAAATGAGTATTTTGACCACATCATCCTCTTTATGCATGTTGTCTTACTCCAAGCTGTATAGGCTCGAAAGCCTACTACCAATTAAGCATATTAGGTGATGTGCATCTCTGTAATGAGAAGGGGTGTGGTCTAATGACATCAACACCCTATATCAGGTGTGCATAATTATTAGGCAACTTCCTTTCCTTTGGCAAAATGGGTCAAAAGAAGGACTTGACAGGCTCAGAAAAGTCAAAAATAGTGAGATATCTTGCAGAGGGATGCAGCACTCTTAAAATTGCAAAGCTTCTGAAGTGTGATCATCGAACAATCAAGCGTTTCATTCAAAATAGTCAACAGGGTCGCAAGAAGCGTGTGGAAAAACCAAGGCGCAAAATAACTGCCCATGAACTGAGAAAAGTCAAGCGTGCAGCTGCCACGATGCCACTTGCCACCAGTTTGGCCATATTTCAGAGCTGCAACATCACTGGAGTGCCCAAAAGCACAAGGTGTGCAATACTCAGAGACATGGCCAAGGTAAGAAAGGCTGAAAGACGACCACCACTGAACAAGACACACAAGCTGAAACGTCAAGACTGGGCCAAGAAATATCTCAAGACTGATTTTTCTAAGGTTTTATGGACTGATGAAATGAGAGTGAGTCTTGATGGGCCAGATGGATGGGCCCGTGGCTGGATTGGTAAAGGGCAGAGAGCTCCAGTCCGACTCAGACGCCAGCAAGGTGGAGGTGGAGTACTGGTTTGGGCTGGTATCATCAAAGATGAGCTTGTGGGGCCTTTTCAGGTTGAGGATGGAGTCAAGCTCAACTCCCAGTCCTACTGCCAGTTCCTGGAAGACACCTTCTTCAAGCAGTGGTACAGGAAGAAGTCTGCATCCTTCAAGAAAAACATGATTTTCATGCAGGACAATGCTCCATCACACGCGTCCAAGTACTCCACAGCGTGGCTGGCAAGAAAGGGTATAAAAGAAGAAAATCTAATGACATGGCCTCCTTGTTCACCTGATCTGAACCCCATTGAGAACCTGTGGTCCATCATCAAATGTGAGATTTACAAGGAGGGAAAACAGTACACCTCTCTGAACAGTGTCTGGGAGGCTGTGGTTGCTGCTGCACGCAATGTTGATGGTGAACAGATCAAAACACTGACAGAATCCATGGATGGCAGGCTTTTGAGTGTCCTTGCAAAGAAAGGTGGCTATATTGGTCACTGATTTGTTTTTGTTTTGTTTTTGAATGTCAGAAATGTATATTTGTGAATGTTGAGATGTTATATTGGTTTCACTGGTAATAATAAATAATTGAAATGGGTATATATTTGTTTTTTGTTAAGTTGCCTAATAATTATGCACAGTAATAGTCACCTGCACACACAGATATCCCCCTAACATAGCTATAACTAAAAACAAACTAAAAACTATTTCCACAAATATTCAGCTTTGATATTAATGAGTTTTTTGGGTCCATTGAGAACATGGTTGTTGTTCAATAATAAAATTAATCCTCAAAAATACAACTTGCCTAATAATTCTGCACTCCCTGTATTTGGTTATCTGTAAGATCAAGGTGTGGTCATTTAGCAATGACTCATTAAGGCACCATGTGAATTTGCCACATGTCTGGTAAGGTGTCTCTACCTTCATAGTGATAGGTGCATGATCAGACCACGAGATAGTCCCTAAACAGGCTGTGTTGATCTGTGTTACTTGTGTGATAGGTACAATGAAGCGATCTTTTCTGGAGTATGATGTGTGTACTAAAGAATGGTATGTGTAATCCCTTTCTAAAGGGTGCAGGGTCCGCCAAATGTCAATGTATCCGTGGTCTAGGAGGGTGGTTCCCAGGAGTCTAGCGGAGCGCAGTCTCTGGTTTGAGGTTGTTTGTTTAACCTTGGAGGAGGAGGTCGTGTCTAAACTTGGATCTAGGAGAAAATTGGTGTCACCTCCAATAATGATATCTCCAAATTTATGGGCATTAGACAGAGTCAAGATTTTGGTTATTGTGTGGGCCGTAGATGTTGACCAGTGTATAGTGAGCATTATTTATTATGCATTGTAATATAAGATACCTTCCTTCTTTGTCTGTTGTCTGTTATTTTTTTTATTAGTTGGAAGGATACATCTTTGCTAATTAGGACCTTTTTTTAGTCTTGTATGTGCAGTGATAGTATGTAGGGAAGTGTTTGGAGTAAAATTTAGGGTGGTTTGCTGTTTGGAAGTGAGTTTCCTGATAGAACGCTACGTGTGTATTGTGTTTTTTGCTTCCATGAGTGCTAGTCTCCGCTTGTGAGGTGAGTTCAGTCCTTTAGTGTTAAGGGAGAAAACGTTAAGTGACATGGGAGCGGTGTGTACTTCTAGGTATCAGTTTCTGAGTTATATTACAATTGTCTGGGAGTGCTTGAGCTCGAGGGGGTTTTGTTTGTTGACACGCTTGTATAGATATCCGCTGCACCACCTCACGTCTGTGGTTGGGAGTCTTTATGTGGAGTGGCGTGTATTTGGTTGTGCCATCATATAAAGGATGGGGGGATATGGTTTGTGTCCAGCGTGTTGTCAGAATATCGAAGGGGGGACATTTGAGGAGGGAACATAAAACCAATAACAAACTATTTACATAGGTACGGCCTCTGTGATGAGGCCTGAACTTAACAGTTACCAGCAGGCAGTTAAGCCTACCTGGGGGGGAGAGTCCTCCCTTAGTGTCCTAAGGTGGAGGGGTATCAAATTAACATGTGTTTCAGGCAGGGTGGCTGGGCACACAGGTAAGGGTCCAACTGTCGGTGGCATACATGCCCGTAGACCCCCACACACCACAAACACATTCCTTTGTTATTGAATAGGTGGGGGTTATAAACAAAGTTAGCTATTATGGCAGTAAACAGCAACATCATAATAAACATCTAAGGTATACGTACAGAGTTCGTAAGGCCTTGATCTAGTCAAGGGTAAGAATGACCA